TGAGCATAATTATCTGGCGCTATGCCAATAATTACGAATCAACAAGTAATTAAAGTTTTTAAAGTCGAGGCATCCAATAAATCGTGATTAAGTCGACAAATATATTACATGCGATGGTCGAACGCGTGCGAAAATTCATTCCAGCTCTCCCTTGGCGCACATTAATCATTATCTGGCGCCATCTAGCGGCCAGTGGCCGAATTCAGCTTCAGCTCATTTATCTGCATCTAATCAATTAGCAAGGCAGCCAGGCAGGCACCTTGGCACCCTTGGCACCCCCTGGACCCTTGTGAGCAACACATTCCGCTTCCTTGACTAATCCGGCTACCTTGTCCTTTTCATTACGATTCCTGCTTATTTTTCTTATTTTTTCTTATTCTCCTTCCGTGCTCCATTTTCGCTTGTCCTTGTTACGTGCCAATTTGGCTCGTTTTGCTCGCTCATTCGTAAATCTAAACAAATCATCAATTTTCACAAATTATACCTCGGCCCTTCCTCCTCGCTCCCTGTCCCCACGATGTGACGCCTGCTGCAGCTCCATTCGTATCCCTGTTATCGCTTTACGCTCTGCTCTCTGCTTTCTGTTTTTCGCCATGTCCTTTGTGCTTTGCTTTGCGCTTTGTCCCTGAGCCTAATTGCTTTCGTTTCAATCGCTGCGTTTCCTGTTGTCATCCACACCGTTGTTCATTTTACATTTCATTAATTAATGCCAATGCCCGTCGAACTTTGACATATTGAGCATCAGCCTCGATTCACCCAAAATTCGCCCTCTTACTTATCTGACGCGCCCACTTGAGGCGAATGAATGCATGAGAGGCACTTGAGTAGCCTCCCCCCTGCCTCAAATCTATTTGGAACTGATACGGAATGCGCTATCAACAATTGTTTTGATGATTTGGGAAATTTTTTAATTAATTTGCCAAACGCTTTTAGATAGTGTTTAGATTCGCAGTCCGTTTACTTGTCCCGGCCTATTTAAGTTTCGATTGCGTCCAATAATTTGCTTATACGCATCATGAGGTGTCTTTGTTTCGTATTGCTGTTCGTGGTCCAGGCGGCTTGGGCTCGTGTGCCCTACCAGCCCCAGGCCGAGGAGGTGGAGCTGCCGCCAGTGCTTGAGGACGAGATCTACGAGCGTGCCATCTATGTGGATCCCGTGTCGGAGAGCCGTGCTGCCGGTGAGTACACAATACGGATGCACTCCAGCTGACTCCTAATCTCTGCCCCCATTAGGCTGCAGTGTGACCATTCGCGGTGGCATGCCGAAGCCGGAGCCAGTGTGCCTGGAAACCGACTCGGAGAACATATATCCCTTCAACAGCCAGGGCGTCATCGAGGTGGAGACTGGCAAGAGCCTGCAGCTGTGGTGTCCCAGCGGCTTCACCACTCACTCGCAGAACCTGCTGACGGCCACCTGTGTGAGCGGCACCACCTTTAAGGTGGATGGCAGCAACTACAACTTCAAGGATCTGGCCTGCAAGTCCTGGCCCGGCTTCAAGGCCATCAAGTCGGGCGCCAAATGCAACGGCGGCATCGTCATTCGCGTCGGCTTCCAGATCACTGCGTCGCGGTTTGCCGAGCAAATGCAAATCTGCTTCAACGAGGAGGAGGAGGTGACCCGCTACACGCGCCACCAACTGTTCCCGGGCAGCAACTACTACGAAACCGGCGTGGATCGCATCACCTTCCAGACGGCTGGCTACTTCAACGGCAAGAATGTGGACAAGCTCTACACGCAGGCCACCCAAATCGAGACGATCAACCGAGATCTGGGCGGCGATGCGGACAGATTTTTCGACACGAAAACAAATGTTTTCCTCGCTCGCGGCCATCTCGGCGCCAAGGCCGACTTTGACTATGCGCCCGAGCAGCGGGCCACCTTCCTGTTCATCAATGCGGCGCCCCAGTGGCAGACCTTCAATGCGGGCAACTGGGCCAGAGTTGAGGATGGCGTCCGTGCCTGGGTCTCTAAGAACCGCATGAATGTCAACTGCTATACGGGCGTCTGGGGCGTCACTACGCTGCCCAACAAGCAGGGCGTGGAGACTCCGCTCTACTTGGCTCGCGATGGCAACAACAACGGCCTCATCCCCGTGCCTAAGCTCTATTTCCGTGTGGTCATCGAGCCCTCCACACATCGCGGCATCGTCTTTGTGGGCGTCAACAATCCCCACTTGACCGAGGCGCAGATCAGGAAGGACTATATCATTTGCAACGATGTCAGCGATCGGGTCAACTACATCAGCTGGAAGAAGACGGACATCAAGGCGGGCTGGTCCTATGCCTGCGAAGTGGCCGACTTCCTCAGGACGGTCAAGCA